CTAAAATAACGGCCGATTCTCATATAACGGTAAATTTAAGAAATGCTTGAAACTTCAATATTTCGAAATTGAAGGACGCTAATTTACTCAAAATTTATACACCTCGGCTTACCATCTAGCGGAAGGTTTCGGAAGGGTGAAAAAACATATATTTAATACTTGCGCCGGGTATTTAATGTTCGGCTCCGCCCGAACTTAGACTTTCTTACTTGTTATTTTATATATATGTACATATACATAAATATGTAGTCGGCAGTGGCTGAGCGTGTTGAGGGTCGTGCTCCTATTTGTTAGCTTTCAGAAGGTGCCGAGTTCGAATGCCGTCAGTCGCTTCCTTAATTTTTTTTCGAACCATGGAAGAGCATCTGTGTAAAGTGCACAAGGAAAGCGTATTGAACGTAAAATTCAATCAGACAGATTTCAAAAAAAAAAAACAGCACCTCTCTGCACACACGTTTCTGCCGTACACTTTGGTAACAAAACGGATCGTCAAAGTATCCGAAAATGGAATCGGTAAAGAGACAAAAATCCAGATTTTTTCTGGCTGGGAAACTATTGAACTTCGAAACAGTTTTGACTCACTACCAGTATGAATTTCTTGCCAAGATTCACAACCTTCAGCGGTTCAGCGGTGGGACTATCGAAGACCGATCGGAGACACCAAACATCGTTCGTTCGTTTAGAAAAGCCTTAGAGTTGTCTATTTCGAATTTCGAAGGGCAACTACTACTAAACTACTTTTGGGGAATTCGTTAAACGCGTACAGTTGGTAAACTCAAAACTATTTTCGAGACATTGGGGTTTTTTTTACACACAAAAAAAAAATTTTCGTATCTATTGTATGAGTAAGATATGTTAACCAATTTGTATATTTTTAGCACTGCTAATGCCGTTTTCACAGCGGAGAGTTAACCCGCATTGTTCTGAAAATCTATAGTTTCGACAGCTGAGTCAGGGTGTATTCGAGCAGAAATTAATGCGGCAGTGTTATTCTCGTTCTACGCGAAAATTTAAGCGATTCTCTCTAAAGTACGCGTTCGAGGAATACAATATTGACTTGCTCATCAATAGCAAATCAGATGCGACATAAAAAATTTTGCTGCGCAATTTCTGCAGCTTTTCAGTAGATTTTTAGTTGAGCATCAGCAGCAGAGCATCCTGCAAGTAACAAGGTTGCAATACTGCGGTAATTATTACGTAGCTCGAACACACCCGTAACTCGCCACTGTGAAAACGGCCCTTAGAATTGCTTTAAAATCAAGTTACTTTGAATAGTTTTTTTTCAAATCACCTTTTCTAAGGAATTCCACACACTTGTCCGTTCGTGAAATGTTCCAATCTATATCCCAGCATCTGTTGCGCTTATTTCTCAAACTTAATTTGTGTTGTAGAAATTCTCAAACCGCTGAGCTTCTTTCCATGTTCAACTTTGATTTTCACAATATTTATTTAATTAATTATGTATTTTGATTTTACGCGCAATTTTTCTTATCTTGGACGACTGGCTGTATATGCATAAATACATATGTATGCATATATGTATGTATGTATATCCATATGCACATATGTATGCTTTCATATATCTACATACATTATTGGCTTAATGTTATTTACGAGGTGGAGGCGATGCGCCAAACGATTTCGTAGGGATTCAGTGCGATTGTAAAGAATTATAACAAAATAAAATCGCGGAATTCGCAAACCGTTTTTACGCACAATCAAATTCTGTAGCGCAACGGTTGGAAAATATTTTATTTGCAGATACGAATATCCACTAAATACGAGTACTTATACTATATGTAACTAAGCGCAAATACAGATTTATTTTTTTTTCCAGTTAAGTTAGAGTATAAAGGAATGAGAAAATCACTCGCTTACAAAAAAAACACTACACAACAACATCACAATAAAAACATTTATACATGGATATGACCGAGACAGCAGCACAATGAAAGTGGGCGGGAGACGCGCGGCATGCGGCACTTGGCGGCGACGGATATGATGGAGCAGCGCGCTGCTGATGGAGAAAGAAATCAGAAAAATTATATAGAAATTCGAGTTTCGCGACGACTAATGTGCGCTTTAAACGCTGCGCTCTTACTGCGATTGGAATTGAACTGAGTCGTATTGTAGGCACAGCAGTTGAGTTGAGCGGTACGCGACGGCTTTGAACGGTGATTTGTGGTGTGATGTTTCACGAGAAACCGGTACGATACGAATGCGCGTTTGTATATCCAAATCGGTCAGCGTGTTGTCAGCAACTGTCCGCGACGCCGATCAGCGACATGTTGAGTTGGTGGCGCATATTCTATGCATGTCGCTGAGCTGTTGTCTGGCTTGTTTGGAGGCCTGGAGCTAAAGCTGGCCGAATAGCCGAAGTTGACAAGTGGCAAAGTGGGCTGCGAGTGCAATGAAGCGGCAAGAGCGAGTAGGCGCGCTGATTGAGCGTTGTAAAGATAAACAAGTAAATACTGGTAGAGATATCATACAAATGCACATATGGACATATGTACATTTACATCTGTATGCCCAGACTATTTAGGCTGCACTGGTGCTCGTAGCAAGCTTGAAACACCGGCTCCAATTCAGGCTCCGCTGAGCGCGACGTCAGCAAGTACGTCATGATTGACATCCACAATATGGATCTTGGAGAGTGTATTCCAGTTGGAAGATCTCGCTTTTCGACAATGATCTTTTCACTTATACGTAATACGTATGTGTGTAAATATCGGCACTTGTAAAAGTACGATGATTTGTTTGCATTGAAATGAAGTTCATGAGAACGGCGTGGCTTTCGCAGACAGGCCTGAACGCGTACTCGTGCGACGATTGCTGCTCCATAGCAGTCTCTAGTTATCCACCCCCATTGCGGTGATGTAAAAATTAATCCTATAAACAATTTAACTGATTATCGCTTCAATGAAGTTGTTGTGTACGGAGTGGCGCATACTGTCACCAAACCAATAATTGCACATGTCTACAACTTGAGTGCACAGGCAGTAACTCGATTGACTTGATCTTCGACTGAAGTAGCATGAGAACATAATATGCAATTCCAACATCAAATTTAAACGGATTTAACAGCCGAGATTCGGCTCAAAGTGTTAGCGCCTGCTTGATGTGTCTAAAGTTATTGAAGTTGCTGAGGTAGACGTAATGATTAAGCTTTTTTATTTGCTTCTCATTTTACTTTGATTAACGGTATTCTAAAAATAATATCGGATCAGGACGACGTCCTCGGATGAACACCTCATCGATTGAGTTCAAAATCGGCGATATTAGGTGCCCTTAAAACTTTGATCCTCTCGGCGTGCATTGAAGTCATCTACGGAGGACCTGATAACAGGTTTTTAAACACACACCATTGTCATCTACGGAACGTGTCACCTTACTTTTCGTTACCATCTGCTCAACTTGAAAACGGATGTAGACTTTGAAATGTTTGCATACAGTCCCCCGACCCTTTATGTGGTTCCGGAAATATATGATATATATTACAGCCACGTCCGGGAAACAACCAAAGTCTAAGGAACAGAACATCATGTCTATATTTTGAAGTGAACAGGGAGACATACCACATTGAGACAGTGGCTATCAAATTACGTTCTCCGATTTTGACCACAACTTTGTACTTCATTTTGTTTCTGATTTCTATAGGCGACTTCTTCTATCATCAGCTTTCACCAAAGAAAGTTGAAAGACTTCGTACGTTGTTTTTTTTTTCAAGCCAACGTACAATCAATCGCGAAGACTTTTAAAATCTTTTCGAAGGCATATCGTCATCTTGAGTTTGATTCCGAGATATATGTACATAAATAGTGGTTATTTGGGACATAAGGTTTGATGTACGTACATATTCTTCGTTCCTGTTTGGCTCTACAACCGTTCGTCTGTTTGGACCGAAACCAAAACACGTCGCCAATTGTCTCTCTGCTCTTCGTCGTCCACGCGAACAGGGCCCTAGGTCTTGCATAGAATAGTTCCCAAAGCCGTTTTAACTTTGTTCGACATCGACCATGTTTCTGGCCATATAGAAGGACGGGCCTGATGAGAGATTTGTAGAGCGTAACTTTTGTTCATCGAGAAAGGGCTCTGCTTTTAAATTGCCTACGGAGTCAAAAGTATGGACTTAGTGCATGTCCTCCGAAAGTATTCAACTCGGAACCTGCTGATGGTAGCAGAGGAAAATACAGGCCCCACTGCGATGGAAAACCCAAGTGGAGAGGGACTTGGTTTCTTTTGAGTTTCTTTCGACATTTCCAATTGGAGTCAGTTGGCATAGAAGAGAAACGACTGGCGGCCAAAATCGCGTCGATTAGCGGTTTACAGCGGTTGAGGCAAACAAGAAGAACATGATCTTGGATATAAGAGCCCTGCTTATATATAATTCCTAGCTTCCTATTTATGCTTTGAAGGTTCCTATTCGCCGTTGATTACACATATACTATGTGTAACCAGTATACTTTCTTCGGAACGAGATCCAGAGACATTTATACCTGTCGTCTTTTTGCAAGTGAAAAGCGCGATTGCAGCTTTTTTACTAGGAGCGGGGAAGGGACTCCACCCTGTAAATTTCCCCAGAATAACACACTGCCAGCCGGCAGCTGGTAAATTAGTAAGAATAAGACCCGAGGTCTGGATATTGCAGTTGCATCTCAACTCCTACTTATCCACGCTCCACCCCGACATATCAAATACATGTCCGGCTTGTGAATGTTGCCCCCACGACACCAACCACAGCTTCACCTGCCCAATTACACTCACTCAGCTAACACCCCCTAAATTCTACGTTCTGATAACATATCATACGTGAGGTTCATTTGATCGTCTGTGGTGGGTAGTTGGGTAAATTTGGTAAAAAAATATTATTAAATAGGAAGATTGACGTTTCATATGACACTGAAGATCAAATAGGATATATATAATTCTTAGACTGTAGAATTTTCCGCTCTTCCTGAGTTTGAGATAAAAAGAATATAATGAATTTTTCATACAGTGCCGGACAAAAGTATNTATAGTTCGTACTTCACCAAAAAACATAAAAACAAAACCTCTAAACTTTGTGCAAAACTCAGGAAAATTCAATAAATTTGCATACTAATTTGCAACTTCTTATTCAGATTTTTTAGAGAAATTCTAAGTATGCAGTTTTATAGCCCAACTAATTTTAGTATAACAAAGTGCAAGTTTGAAGTATCTAAAAAATTGCGTTGATTTTTGGACATTTTTTTAGTAGAAGGTGTTGCTCATTTTCTCCACACAAAAAATAATTGTCGAAGATACTTTGTACGGAAGAACCTGACTGAAGAAAAATTGCCAAAAATCAATGCGATTTTTTAGCACCTTCAAGCAGTGTTTGTTATACTAGAATTAGTTGAGCTATAAAACTGCATACTTAGAATTTCTCTAAAAAATCTGAATAAGAAGTTGCAAATTAGTATGCAAATTTATTGAATTTTCCTGAGTTTTGCACAAAGTTTAGAGGTTTTGTTTTTATGTTTTTTGGTGAAGTACGAACTATATTTTTATTAAAAAATATTGAAAATAAATTCGAATAAAAAACTTTGCATATATTGCGAAAAATTCTCTGTGCCAATACTTTTGTCCGGCACTGTATTTTTAAAAAAGTTTTAGCTTGGGTATATTGGAGATACATTTTTAGTAAAATTTCTACACACAAATACGTTTCCGATATCGTTTGATATTTTTATGGACCGATATTAAATAAATAAAATATGAAATGTATGCATTTTTCTTTGTAACCTGGTTCAGTTCATACATACATACATATGTGTTTCAATAGACATTGCAAATCATAATTATCTACTGAAATCATATATCTATTGAAAGACATATGTTTGTGTGTATTGTTAATATTAATCATGTTTATTGTTTATTTATTGTTCAAATACAGACTCCCTGAAGAAGGCGGGAAAAAGCGCTGAAACGCGTAGGAGGGAAAAGGAAAACTTATTTTCGCTTTTTATTTCAAGTAAGTATCGAAAAATTTTACAGAAATATGGCCCAAATCAATAGTTTCATAATTGTATTTTATTTTAAATAAATTTGTTTTCAACTATGTAAATCAAAATGATTGGACACAAATGTACATGCATTAAGGAAAGAAGGCATTTAATGCAAATTGAAATTTTTTGCTATTTTTTCTGCTGCTGAGGCGCTTGCCTGGTTCTCCTTAAAAGTATTTAGAATATCGGTAAGGACTGTAAAATAAAAGAAATGATATTTGCGTTATAAACATGAATACAAAATATTATTTCCAGTGTAAAAAATTGGACCTAAAAGAAGCGCTTACTTACGTTTCTTCTCATCGGCAGACATAAGTAGCGATAAAATGGTGACTTGATTATTTTTACTGATTTCTAGGAGGGTGGCAGCGGCTGTTTCATCCTTATTTGATAAGTAAAAGTCGCGAAGAGTATGAAGAATGTCCGTAAGAGTATCAGAATCAAAACCCGCACCAAGTATTTTGCGTATTTGCGATACATTAATGCTCTGTAAATGGCAAAAAAAAAAAAATGAATAAAATTTTTTGTATAGATGAAAACATGTTTTTAAATTTAACCATCTCTAAATCGTATTTATTACCTTTAAGTAATAATACTTTTGGGCAGGCGCCAATTCTTTCCAGTTAGGATAAAATTGCGCTGTGGACGTTGGAGGTGGCGGCAAGGGGCGCTAGAAGAATAAAAACTTTTTTTTTAATCAATGCAAACACGAATTAAACTAGTAAAAAGAGAAAAAGTAAAATAAAATAAATTAGCAAAAATAAAATAATATATGTACATGAAACAATTTTAACACTCTCACATTGTCTGCAATTTCGTTTTAATCTTTCAAGCCCTCCAAACAAAATTCGAAACACTGAATACAAACACACGCATGTTAATTTAGAGACGGTTTATTAAGTTTTTCAGCCGCTACAACACAAAAATCTTCACCCTTAAACAACCCAATTGGATAAAGCTACAGACTGCCTTAGTTTTCGACAAAATTTGTAAATAATGATAATAACTTTGATGACTATTACAAATAAAGTTGGTGCTTTAAAGGACATTTATGCAACTACAGATTCACACTTAATTAGACAAAAAATCTAATTTAATTTTCTATAACTATATTTAGGCGTTCAGTAGCAATTGTTTAATTTTTATTATTAACTAAAAATAAATTTTTTGTTTGGCACGACTATATACTTTTTGGTAAGATACCCATAAACCAATTAGTACTACATACTACATATTTTTGGTAAACATTCAAATAATAATTTTAATAATAATAAATTCTTTGTGTTAAAGACGTGTTTTTTCAAGAGTCTTTGTCTCGTTTGAACAAATTTTTGCTACTTTGTTTAATGGCATCAAAAAATCTTATAAATAAAGCAATTACCGCCCAGAGGAAAGAAAATAATGCGCTTACATTAGCATTCAGCCGGAGCACATCCGTTCCAGACGTCGTGCACGACTTGTCCGCCTCTCCGGTTGATGAGGTTGTCTGGCTTTCTTCGCGTTCTTGCTTTTCAGTAGTTTGATTAGAAAGAGGGTACACTTCGTCTAATCGCCTAGATTTTTCTCCTCCTTTCGCTTCGGGTTTTCCAGCGTTTTTACGTTCCGTTGTATTATTGGATTTCTTGACCTCAACAAATGGACCACAGTTGCTATTAAATAATTTGTCTATATCTTCATCCGAGATTTTCAAATTTGAATTTTCACAACTTTTTTTATCTTTGGGGCCTACAACATCTGCTATGGGCACACGACGAAGAGGCTTGGTTGAGCGTTTGTAAGGTGGTTTATCGATAGGCAAAATATCTATTATGTTGTCACTGGTTGCGCTGAAGTTTGGTCCTTTTGCTGATTTTACTAAAACAAATAACCAATTAAATAATAGAAATGAAAACAGCGGTAGTCCTTTTGTTACATACAACTTTTTCGTATTCTTTCATTGATGCGTTCCAAACTTTTATTTGCTTCACTATTCTTGGGTTCGATCATTAGAACAGTGGTACAATCTTTAAGTGCATCCATATTGTTGCCTAGACACTCATTGGCTTGCATGCGTCGATAGTAGGCTTTAACGCATAAGCTATCGATTTCAATGGCCCGGTCACAATCTTCAGTGCAATCATTATATCTGACGAAAGAAAATTTCTAAATTATAGCGGCTATGGTCGCTTTTTACATAGAGAACTAACCTCTCTAATTTTAGATAGCAAAGCGCACGATTACTATAAAACACCGCATCCTCTGGGAATATATCAATCGCGGTAGAGTACTCATAAATGGCCTTCTCATATTCGCCAAGCTTAACCAACGTATTTCCTTTGTTTTTCACTTCATTAGCTTGTTTGCGCTTTTCTTCGTTGTGGTCCAGGGGATTCTCTTTTTTCTCTGTGGGAGTAGAAGCTAAAATTGTGCGAGATGAGATATGATGACAGTTTCAAAACTTTTGTAATTATTTTACCACCGCTGGAGCTCGTCGGATAAATTTCTGCGTCCTTAACAACAGAAGCTAATTTAGATGGTTGCTGCTGCGGTTTATTCGTTTGAGTTTGCTGCTTTTCCGAAAGGATGTGACTACGTACCGGCACATTTTCCCGCTGATGTATGAATGACATTATTTAGCTATATTTTAACTAGAATATTAGAGATCTACCTCTTCTTTTTCCGTGAATACAGGACGTCGTGTGAGCTCTTTTTCCTTGGCCTTCATTTCCTGCTCCCAGCTATAGAGATCATTAAGCGTGTTACGCACCTCTTCCGCATTATGACGCACTTGCAATTGAATTTCATGAGATTTTTTAACTGCATCCATAGTAGTTTTATGAATTGTTAATATATTTGCTAGTTATTAAGTGGGTTCTTTCTTTTTTTGACTGAAATCGTGCTAGAAATAAATGAATTTGCTTTGTTCCACAATATAACCAGTAAACACANTGGTTTTTCAACACCATTTATAATTTTCTTTTAATAAAATCACGATTTGACAAATACTTAAATTTATTTATCTAATAATAATACAGCACACAACCCTGAAATCTAAGAAAAAGTCTGAGGAAGGCCATTAAATAGCAGCACACAACCCCGTGCCTTCCTCAGGAGTGAATATAACTACAACAACAACGACTACTACAACAACAACCCAAAAAGGTTGGTTACTGTCTATACTGTGCTTTGTTTTCTTGCTGGTTCAATAAAAATGAACTGTCATGTCATGTTGATGCTGCTTCTTTCTGCTGCTACAGAGAACGTCAATTTATACTTTACGTTCTCTGTCTATACTTTACGTTCTCTGATTACATCGATAGATGGCGCAACAACAAATTTTTTGCATTGTGGAGTTCGTGCTAGAATATCACACATAGATGTCGCGTACACTGTTTTCAACGAAGTTGTGTGGACAATTCAACTACCGGAAACAGTACCGTTACTAAAATTTAGGGTCGGATATGCAGTGTTTTAATGGTGCAGTCAGAGCAGAGAACGTTTATAAATGCGCCTTCTCATTTATAAACATTCTCTGACAAAATTGATTTATTGGCGTTCATTGTGGCATACCTTTGCGCCTGGCGCTTTGCTGGCAAAGTTATGTCACGCAAATCTACAAAGTTTTATCTGACATCAGCTTTAAATGTCAAATATATCTCAAAATATAGCTTTACTTCTTTTCATAATAGCAAGTGATTAAAAAATACGCTGCAAAACTTAAATAAAAATTGTTTTCTCTGAAGTGTCCAGTTTAATGGACAAATCCATTGAAAGGGCCAAACCTCCAAACACATTTTAAATAGGGCGCGAAACCAGCATTTAACACTTCCACGTGCAACGTCTCACATAATCGTGTTACTTACAAACATACATACATGCATACTTATGTATGTAGGTATGTATGGACATAATTAGGTAGTTGCATACTCCTTTACATTGCACAAGGAGTTGGCGTGCGCGCCCAATTAGAAAATTAATTTACTACTGCTGTGAAAAGTGAAATTAATTATTTGCGGATATCTGAGTATTTACTGAGTATGTCTACAACAATGAAAATAGTATTTGCTTCAATACAATTATTGACAGGTTAATAGATATTATGTATGTTGGGAAACATGTTGTTCGCCCAAGACGGAAGCTGTGTAAATACGAGTGATATATACAACAGGTACAATATAAAGACCTTATACAGCAGAAGGCAAATAGCGGATCTATCCTTTTTTTATAAGGTCGTAAATGGGTTGATAGATTCCCCAGAAATACTGGAGCAGTTCAGGTTCATCGGCTCTAGAGCTGATCTTCGATCGAGACGACTGCTAGATGTTACGCAATCTAACCGGAACTATATCGCCTATGGACCGTACAACAGAATAGCAAGCTTAGTCAACCGACATGCACCAAGTGTTAATTTCTTTGGAGGTTCTCACGCTGGTCTCATTCGTGTTCTAAAATCAGTTCTTTGAGTTATACATATGTACTCATTCGACATCTATTTATAATTTTTGCAATTGATAATTATTGTTAACTATTTACGTTTTTAAATTGGTACAAAATTTTACTTTTTTATTATGTGTAAAGCCGATTGGCGTTTAAATAAATAAATAAATAAATAAATAAATAAATATACATACATCATTATTTTCAGTTTAATAAATTTAGATTTTGAGCAACTAAGAATTCAGTTTCAATTCCTCGATACTCAAATAACTAGACATTTTTTTGTATTTGTTTTAGAATATAACACCGAACAGTCTTTGTATGGAAGAAAATGCATAATACCGCCAGCAAAAAAAAAAAACAAAAATCTTATGTTAAGTCCTAGCTACTTCGAATGTGAACTTTATCATGAAATTTTTACGGAGCTTTGTTAATTTTTCTGTATTTCTATAAAAAAATATCTAAAATTGAATAAAAAAATAAATAGTTTGTTAAAATTTGTCAATTAGTGGCATGCTTATAATTTTGACACGAGGTGTATATCTGAAAATATTATAAATATATACATTATAAATATATACATACGAAGGAGTCTACGTGTAATTCTAAGCCAACTTGCCGAAGAAACCGAAGAAAATTTGAAAATGTTTCATGTCTGGTGAAAGTTTTAAGAAGAAGATAAGTGCAGAAATTGATTCCTTTTACCAAAAAATCCCTTATAGCCTGTTTTTATATCAAATTTAAGCACATCTTTACGACACTTCATACACCAGTATGCTTATTTTCGCAACTTGGCAAACTCAAAATTGATTTAAGACCCATAGTTTCTTCGGAAAATTTGATTAGAATATATGTACATGTAGACAGACTTCTTTTGTGCTATACGCGCATAGTCGAAAAAATCACTTTCACAGCGCATTTTTTTTTCGATGTGAATTTTTAAGTTTTCACTTCACATCACGATAGCTCAGAACGGGAATAGACCCCCAGTTATTGTTAAATGTATGAAAATGCCAGATCAAATTACACATGCATTTCTATTTAGCTGACAATCGCTGCATTCATGTTTATATGTAAATTTGTAGGTAGCCCCATTTGTTATGATGTGGATAACTTGGAGTAGCACTTGGACCCGTTCGCGACACGAAGATGCGAAATTGCAGTTATTAGTCGAAGTTCATATTTTTCACACAAAATAACTTCATAACATTCTGGAAATTCTAAATCGTTACGTAATGGGAATTTTATGCACCGCGCTGATGTTGCACATTTTAGCTCGTTGAGTGTGGCTGCTGATGGTTTTACTCACAGCTGTTATGGAGCTTTTTCCACATACGTATACATACATTTATTAAAGTGGCTTAGAAGGAGTGGAAGCATTAATATAATTATTCACAGTTTGTGTGTTTGTTTAAAACGTATGTATGTACATACATATATATTTGAATATATCATATATAAATATAATATAAAAGTAGCGAATATCACTCAAGGTGATAGTAATTATGATCGCATAACTAAAAAAACTGAAAATGAACAAAAAATTTTGATCAACGATTTACACGTATTTTAGATTTAAAAACACACAAAAATACGACATACTTATGTACCGCACTATTTTGGACACACATGCATATTTACATCATACATACATTTGTATTTATTTCTTCCTTTTATAAAAAAAAGAAAGCATCCAAAGCCTGCACCCCATTGTGTGCCACTTTAATCCGAACTAAAACTCCCTTTATTTCCGCTGAACCGTATGCCCCCCGGTGTCACTGTAAAGTATTTCGTTGGAAGCAAGTTGAGCCTAAGCTCGATTGTACGATTTCTGTTCTGATGCAGTTAGTCTCAAGTCGTAACTACTTGGAACTAACCTCAGTTAGTCAACATATTGGTTTCTTCAAGCACCATTATTGTCAAAACGGCTTTGCCATGCTGTTTGCCGCGACTGTGCCGAATGACTGCCATTTCTCTGGCGACTTTGTTTTATGCGGAATCAGGTTCTCTGGAGTCGGATTTACTTCAAATAAAGAGTTAAGGAGATAACTCATTTCTCCTCAGAGTTCGGGTATGAAAATAGAATATGTTCTACATCTTCCGCACTATTTTGGCCGCAGGTTTACAATGTTCGGCATCATCTAATTTGTAGCGGAAGTAGTACGCTCTAAAGAAAGGAGGCATGCGCACTTAGTTGTTGAGTGATATTTTAAAGTCTGCTTCGCCATATTTTCTTGTCAATCAGTTTTCTATGTTTGGTATAAGTCTGTGCGTTCATCGACCACGATTCGCGTGATCCCGTCGGTATTTTCACTGTTATATTGTGCGACGTCTTGTCTACGCGTTCCAGGACTTTGTATGGGAATCACCACGGCTCGCAGTCATCGTTTCATTGACCAAGGGTTCAATCGAATCCAGTTATGAGATGACCAGCGCAAAGTCTGTACACTGATCGCGGGTTTCCTTAATATATAATGTCGTGTCAGATGCAGTTGCCCAAACCTCTGAGCCGTAGAGAATAACGGACTTCAGAAAACCAGCCAGTAGAGAGTGCTCCTTGATTGATCACTGCTTTTCCCAGTTCAGATGGTGTTTAAAGATGAGCGGCGATACAAATTGTATGCCTCGGTACTTGAGTGAGGGTTTCGACTGCACAGTGAATCCTCTAGCTTGTGCTTCTGTTTGCTTTATGATTTTCCGCTTGCCTATTAGTAGAAGCTCTGCCTTCTTCTCGGCCAGCACGAGGCACATTGAGGTTGGCCAATCGATGATGGTAGCAACTGTTACTTCCACACATCGTTCCAACTCAGATAAATGTTTGGCAAGAACTTCCACCACAATGTCTCTGCGAACACTATTCTCGTCGCTTCCAAAAGAGTTGTCTCAGTACCAATCCCTGTAACTGTGCGTTCTACCAGACCAGTTTGGTTTTCGCCCAGCAGAATCCTATTTGGGAGTCGTTGGCGATCAGCCATGTCAAATACGCTGGGCCGTTAAACTTTCGAAGCGCTGAAGTTTGCCAATTCGCTGTGTTGAATTCACGTTTTACATCCAGTGTAAACAATTAGGCAATGCTCGATGGTGCCGCCCTTCCACCGTTTTCCTTCTATTGGCTTCGCTTCTATTTACTTATGTTCTTAACGAAGTTTGTTGTATCGATTGTGGAACATCCTTTACAGAATCCGAAGTAGAGCCTTCTAAACATACACGTATGTACATACATATGTATATGTACAGCAGCGTTCAACAGTAAATGATTCTAACCGTTTGGTGCATCCACGAAGGATATAGTTTGAAATGAAAATTTTCAAACACTGCCGAAAATGGGATTCCGTTGATGCCTGACATCCTGTAGGTGCATGCCCATCAAAATTACCCCTAATTATGTGCTCCATGTTAAGTTTTGAAACGAATCCGCCAAAAAAAACCCGCAACCATCTTTTCTGCCACGTTTTTCTGTCCACGAGCGTTTTTTTATTTTT